ATGCTGATAGTAGAAATTGAATAATGGTTGCTGTGGTAGGCTGGTGGCAATCATGTATGTTTTAGAACGATTTTTAATATGTTTTTTTTTTTACTTTTTTTTTTTGTTTTTAATATATTTTTGATATATTAATTTTAAAAAAAAAATTTTAAAAAAATTAAAAATTATTTTCTAAAAAAATAACTTTAAAAAAAATTACTAAAGAGCAACAATAATGGCAGCAGTAACAGAAAGGGGATTATCATGATGGTGGCTTGGCAGTGGAGATAACTGAGGTGCGGGTGGGCGAGCGAGATCGTGGTTTTTATGATAGATATTGGCTTGTTTGTTTTTATATTTTTAAAAAAATTAATTTTTTTTATTTTTTTGTTTATTTTTTTAAATCATTTTGATATGTTGACGTAAAAAATAATTTTTTTAAAATAAAAAATTTATTATTTTAATATATTTATAAGTAAAAAATATTTTAAAAAATAACCACAACAATATTTTAAAATACTAAAATGGTGATTACAACAATATTAAAGTGGTGATTACAACAATAATTGTTATATTAGCAGTGAAATTGTAATAATAGTAATGGCAGGGTTTTGTGTTGTAAGGAGGTGACGGTAAGCACGTTGTTATTGTCTAATTTTAAGGATTGAAAAGTGTATTCATTTAGATTTATTTAAAAAATAAAAATAAAAATATTATAGATTTTGTTTTAAATAAAATGATATGGTATACTTGCATGCTGTTGGGGGTTTATAGAACAAATATACTTAATAATGTTATAATTATAAACCAACACTAGATAAGTAATAGAAACTAAATTTATGATTGATCTAATATTTCATGATGAAAAAAATATTGTGTTTATGATAAAAAATTTAGAGACAGGACAAAATAATTTATAGCAATCTACAATGTTTAGTGAGGAAATATACAATACTTTCCCTGTATAATTTATCTTTTTTGTTAATAAAAAAATATAAAGCTAAATTATTTACCAACTTAAGATTAAAAAATCAATAAAAATAATTTTGGAAGGAAAAAAACCCACAAGAAAAAACATTGTAGCAATTAATAATATTTTGTTAGGAAAATTATAGTGTTTTCTCCAATAAAATTGATCAAGATAATTTAAAAAAATCATAAAAAATAATTTAGAGAAATATTATAGCAATTCACAGTATTTTGTGATGAAAACTATAATGCTTTTTCCATATAATTTAACTTTGTTTTAGTTATAATTTTTAACCAACTCAATATTTTTAAAAATAAAATTAACAAAGATAATTTAAAAAAAATCATAAAAAAATCACGTGGAAAAACACTGCATCAATTCACCGTGTTTTAGAGAAAAAAATTACAAAACTAAATTCTCAATCAACTTAATATTAAAAAAATAAAAACAACAGAGATAATTTTAGAAAAAAATAACAAAAAAAGAAAAAAAATGTTGGGAACACTGTAACAATTTACAGTGTTTCGTAATGAAAGCTACAGTATTTCCCCGTGTGATTCAACCTTGTTTGTAATTACTTGTAATTCCAATTCTTAACCAGGTCAATATTAAAAAAATAAAATTGAAAAATATATTTTTGAAAAAAGTTACAAGGGGAAAAAATCATACAAGGGAAAAAAATCACATGAGGAGAGACTGCATCAATCCACAATGTTTTGTGAGAAAAGCTATAGTATTTTCCCTGCATGATTAAAATTTGTTATAATGTTAAATTCTAACTAGTTCAATATTAAAAAAAATAAATTTAATAAATATAATTTTTTAAAAAAATATTAAAAAAAAAACACAAAATATATTGAAAAAAACTACGTGAGGAAAAACTTTAGTAATCCATAATGTTTTATAAGGAAAGTTTTCCCACATGATTTAGCTTTGCTTGTAATTGTAATTCTTAATTGACTTAATATTTTTTTAAAATTGACAAAAATAATTTTGAAAAAAAACACAAAAAAACCACGTGAAAAAAAACACTATAACAATTCACAACAATTTGCAATGAGAGCTATAATGCTTTCATCACATATTGTAACTGTAATTCTCAATTAACTCAATATTAAAAAATAAAATCAATAAAGATAATTTAAAAAAATAAAAAAATAAAAATAAAAAAACCACGTGGAGAAACAATATAGCAATCAATAATGTTTTTTTTTTTAAATTACAAAACTAAATTTTCAATCAGCTTAATATTAAAAAAATAAAATTGATAGATATAATTTTAAAAAATAAAATAGAAAAACCATGTAGAAAAAAACTGTAGTAATTTATAGTATTTTAAATGAAAAAATTACAAACCAAAATTTTTAACTAGTTAAAAAGTAAAAAAAAAAACGATAATTTTGAGGGAAAAAAAGGAAAAATACTATAGCAATCCATGGTAACATGCGAGGTAAACTACAATATTTTCTCCATGTGTTTTAACTTCATGTACAATGGTTTTTTTTCCTGAAACTATTGTTTTTAACTATATAAAATAAATGATAACAAAATTAAATTTAATTAAAAAGAAAAAATTTCATAAAACTTATAAATCATAACAATTTGAGTAACCCTGACAAATAAATAAACCATTTTAACCCTATAAAAAACTAAAATAAAAAAAAATAAATTACAAAATTTAATTTTTAATTACATTAATATTAAAAAAATAAACAAAAATAAATTTTTAAAAATAATATATTTTTTAAAAGTAAAAAAAAACAAAAAAGTGATAAAACAAATAAAGAAATGGAATGTAAATTACCTTGGTAAGTTATAGTGAAATTAGCATGGATAAACAATGAATTTCTCACACTTTTTAGCTTTTTTAGCTTTATATACAATATAATAATGCTATTTTTTTTAATGATAAAAATAACATTAAAGTTTTTAAAGTTTGGAAACTATTAGCTATGTATATATACTTAATACTGCGCATTGTTTGGAAATGAGTTTCAATTTATTTTTTATTAATTTTTTTTTATTTAAATTTTTTTTAAATATTTTTAGATTATTTTGATGGGTTAATGTTAAAAATAATTTTTTTAAATTAAATATTTTTATATAAAAAACATTTTTAAAAACAATTATTATTATATTTTTTTAAAAAAGACAGTTTTTTTGCAGTACATGTTCACTGATATAGGTGTATGGATTAAGAGCCCAGTAACTCGGCCCAAGGAAAGAAATATCCAATGTATTGTTGAGAACATATCAGAAATGATACCAGAGGACCTGAAAACAAAGGGGTTTTATACAAACACACACACACACAATTCATCAGAGACTGGACGTGTCAAAAGAAATGAAGAAAGACCTAAAGGAAAATCAAAGTGGTATACTAATTTTATAATAAAAGGAATTTAACAGAGAAATGCTAGATTTTCTTGGAACATAATGTTAGAATTTCTCAAAACAATGTATCTTTCCGTACACAACTTGAGGTAAAAGCAACGAGTTTGGGTGTAGCTTAACGATCTTGAACCCTCCAGGAAGCTCTCTAAGGCAATGGCAATGGCAATAGCCTGAATTCAGCTGTTTATTTGATTGGTTATTCCTAGTCGATTGTCGACTCGCAATCAACATTCAAAAGGCGATACAGAGATTAGGAGGAGTTTTTGTAGTGCGAGGCTAGGCTAAGTTCTTTGGAAGAAGCGCTTCTTCGAAGCTGCTATCAACTATTTAACTGGATTCAACGAACATGAGTCTTGCCTGTAAATTCCTACCGCAACAGATATTATATTTTCTTTCTCTTAAGAAGTTTAAGGTTCAAATCTTTAATATATAAAAAAAAGAGAGAGAAGGAGGAGGAGACGAGGGAAGCCACATAATGCCCGGTAGGTTACATGTCGAGGCTTTTTAGATACTGTAATTCACGATTATACTTGAGTTGAATTTTACAAGACTGTTTGTTTTTATGATTTAAAATATTTTTAAAAAATTGAATATTTTTTTTTATTTTTTTTCTTTTTAATTATTTTTTTGATGTTTTTAAGTTGTGTTAATATTAAAAATAATATTTTAAAAATAAAAAATATTATTTTAAATAAAAATAATTAAAAAAACTGTTAAACTAAAATGATGTTTGAAAGTGTGATTGTGATTATTTTTCAAAGTATTATAAATCTTATCATTTACCAACTAAAGATGATTTTAAATCTTACCATGGACCTCTTTTAAATGGATACAAGTGTTGTTAGTTGACTAAAATAAATAGCGAGAAATCATGCCGATAGTCATTTTTAAAATAGATGACTAATATTAAATAATTTGAAAGATTAAAAAAAAAAACTTGTTCATTATAAAAAAAATAAAAATCAATATATATCCAAAAAGAAAGCTTGTCCGTTATAATAAAATTAAAATTATAAATCACAAAATATTTTTTTCTTTTCAATATATATTTCATTTTGTTACAATACTTTCAATTTACAGTTGGTTTTCGTGATAAAAGTAACCAAAATTAGTTTTGATTTATATTTCATGCGAGGAATCGATAAACGTGTGCATTGGGTATGCACTATGCACGTGACATTTTTCACGCTTGACGCTCATGATGTCTGATATCCTGGGGTGAAGCAACGACTGTACCCTTTCGAGTCCCAAGCAGCATTACAGAAGGGAATGTTCGATCCCCTACACAACGAAAGGCACACAGAATTTGATGGGTTTTGGCACATGAAACAGTGGAAGAGGACGACCCTAGTTCTCGGCAATCAGCATTAGCTGGAAGTAGCTCCCAAGTGACTTGACTGCACAGGCAGGTAAGCAAGACAATAACTAGTCGGATCAGCGGCCGGTGGTATTTAGGAAGGCAGTTTGGTGGCTTTGGTGCTATCCTTACTTGCAAGGGGGTGTTTAATCTCCGGGATTTACTCTTTAGCAGTCAGCCGTGCAAGGGGGGTTAATTCTAGCTGTTAAAAAACCCATGTAAAAAGGCATTAGGATGTTATATTCTTGCAAATTATACATGTCATCAACAGACAACAATGCTACCATCATTAGATTACGATGCTAAACAAGGTCATGATTGTATTAATTTGTCCACTCATATTTGGTTTTCTTTTACAGATGCCATTTTGAAGAGGATCCGATATATGCATTTCAGTTACCTACTGTTGACAAAGAATCTTTCATTTCCTTACCTTTCCCATTTTCTCCCCATTGCTTTCAAATTTCATGGATACCGATGCAGGTGCCATCCTCAGTGTCTAGTCAACGGAATACATGGCACAACAGGACAGCAACTCAACTGAAAAGATGGAAGTTCGGCAGGAAAAAAAGAAACGAAAATTTTGGGTACATGTTTTCTATGATTTTCCTTCCTCCACTTCATCAGCATCTTCCATTTCACTGCCTAGTCTGACAATATCTTCTACAAGGATCTTTCCTTCTGTTGCAACAAAATACAGAAAATGGTAAATTATACTTGGGAGGTTAAAACAAAAGGATAAAGAATAATGTAAAGCATATATCTATATATAATAAACTGGGAGGTGTTGTCGCCACCTTTTGACTACGAGAATATAAAAAACTTTCCATCTACATGTTAGTATGTTGCATAAAAAAAAATCCTCAGAAAACAAAACCAAAATTTCATATTTATGCGATTGGTAGATAACACCACAACAGAATTATATTATGGAGGTAGTTTAAACAGTATTCATCTAGTGAAGATGATAGCAGAAGATCTGACAAGAAAAGATGGAATTCATCACTAACCTGTATCTTTGGAAAGATTGCTTATGAGTTCTTGGATGCCCTCCTTTCCCAAGTGGTCCTTGAGGTACATAGCAGCAGAGGCAACCTCCTCAGGAGTCACTTTACCGTCATAATCCCTGACATCAAAATGAAAGGTTTACTGGGGTAATTCTTAAAAACCACTTCAGAGTTCAAACCAAAATTCTCGAGGCTAGGGCACCTGCATTTTTTTTTTTGAGCTTGCAATGGAAAACTGTGAGTTTTAAGGCAAGCAAACAACTTATAATTGAATAATTGAATGAGGCATGTAAATAGTAATCATCTTGCAGGGACAAAGATCAGCAGCATTTCCTAACACTGGCTGAGACACCAGGAAATTCAGATTATATATACATAAATGTGAAACATCGGATAAAATCAATTGCTATGAAACCAGCAATAATGTTCCAAGCATAAAGCATTATCCTCTACTTGACTACTTCATCTGTTTGAAAACCCTAAGATCTCCGAATCAAGCCATTAATTTGCCAGATTGATTCCAAACTATACATGCTGTTTGCTCCAGTATCATCTTGCACAGCTTAAGTCATCGAGGCAATCTTCACATATGACCAACTAAATACAAACAAGTAGTGCCAAATTGTGAACCTGTCTTCTAAGGTCGCAAAATATTTTGACTTCATATGTTTTTGTTTATATCAAAAAGATAAATATGCCTCTTTTCTTTGTGGGGGGGGGT